CAGGCCCTCATTAGCAGGATGAAAACTAAAACACATCAAGTGTGTTAGAGGAGCCAATACTAAGAGAAGTGGATGGTACAGTGGGACCCCTGGGAGTGTGCCACAGGAACTGCACTGAGATCATAGAGGTGCTGGAAGTATCTGGGACTGAGGTTTAACTGCAAGGGTCAGTTTGTGTACCTTATACATTGTGCTCATAGAGCTTGTAGCAGGGGTACTTGTCTCCTGTCACCTACCAGCTTCCTACCAGCCACCCTTCACCAGGTGTTATGTTTGGTGTATAGGTGTCCCCCCAAAGCCTCATGCAGTCTTGGGGAGACTCCTGGAGTTTGTGAATGATTACTGTGAGTGTGGATGCTGCACCTGCCCTGGGACAGGTAATTTGCATTTCAATGTAAGCAGGAAAGAGAAGTTAGCTGCTTGAGCTGCTGCTGCTCTTCCTTTTGGCGCTCATTGTCCCCGCCTTGAAAGATTGTTCTCTGCCTTGTGTTGCTCTCTGCCTTGGAGCCAGCTGAGTATGGACTGAAACCTCCAGTAACTGTGAGCTAAATAAACCTTTTCTTCCTTCATTTTAGGTGTTGGCTCTTTGTTGCAGCAATGAGAGAAGAGTAGCAAAGACAGAATTTGGTACCGCAGGAGTAGGTGTGGCTCAACCTGACCATGTGGATGATGCGTTTTTGGAATGGTTTATGGGAAGAGATAGGAAAGATTCAGAGACATTGCCCACTTGAGAAGAACTGGAATGGCTTTAGCTCTTCTGTAGGGAAGATTCTGATCAGAGCTCAGAAGACCAGAAGGGTGATAGAAAGCTGGCCTGTAAAGACCAGGCTGGGAGGTTTCTGCAGAGAAGGACTGCACTGGTCGTTGGACGCCGGATCATGTGTGTTTTAACTTGGCAGAAAAGTTGTCTGCATTTTGCTCATGCCGAGAGAGTTTGCCTGAGACTGAGTTTAAGCATGATGGACTGATTAATCTTTCAAAAGATATTTCAAAGCAGCCAAATACTGGGACAGTGGCATGGCTTTTAACCAGGTTTCTGTTGAGAATCAAGAGCAAGGAGCCCAGCAGGAGGATTTAAAATGTTGTGAGTTTGGCCAGAAAGGAAGTGCCAGGAAGGCTGTGGACTGTGAAGACAGAGCTGAGAGGGATCTCCATTGATGAGAAGGAACAGGAGAGTAAAAAAGATGTCCTGAGGACATCACAAGAGGTGGCTGGTTCTTGCCCTTTGCAGCCTGAGAATCACAAGGGTGAGGGACTTTGCTCTGAGGAAAAAGCTGCAGAGCCCCATGTTCCAGAATGGCGGCAGCGGCCACATCATGTTCCAGAATGGCGCCAGCATGGAGAATTTATTTCTCAGAATAAGGGTTAGAGTGCTCAGTAATTGTGTCACCTGACCCCTGCAGCTAAGAGATAAGGAAACCTGGCTACTGCTGCAGCTGCCAGGAGACCTTGGCATCATCCATGTGGCGGTGGTTTTAGGCACATGCAGAATGCAGGAGTTCTGAGGTTAAGACGGCTTCCACCTCGATTTCAGAAGAAGGCCTGAGAGGCCAGGCAGTGTGCCCCTGAGAGGGCAGTGTGTGAAGCTGTGAGTGAGAAGCCTACTCAGTGGAAACCCCAGAAGTTTGGAAGAGCCTGGAACGTGGATCATCTAAGGGAAACTGCAAGGAGGGAGCAAAGCCAGCCTAAGAGGGACGCCATGGGAGCTGCCACCGCGAGTGCCTTAGGGGCGGAGCCATGTCAGGCCTTTGGAGCTCACAGCTCATCACAGATTGCTTCAGATGTCCCACATTGAACTGCAGGACTTAATGTTTGCCCTGCTGGATTTTGGACTTTGGTTGGTCCCAGTGCTTGGTATCCTGCTGTGTGTACCTTTTGGAATGGTAATGTTTATCTTGTGCCTTTGAATGTTGCAAGTGTTTAAGTTTTCATTTGTAGGGGGGGCTCACAGCTAGAAGTTTGGCTTGAATCTTGCAGGAGACTTGGGACTTGGACTTTTCAGCAGTGCTGAAACTGTTGAGACTGTGGCAACTCTTAGAGATGGACTAGAATGGCTTTTGCATAAAGGGATGAGTGAGTCTTTGGGGGTCCAGTGGTGGAATGTTATGATTTGTGTATAGGTGTTCCCCCAAAGCCCCATGCAGTCTTGAGGTGGCTGCTGGAGTTTGTGATTGATGGTTGTGGGTGTGGATGCTGCGCCTGCCCTGGGGCATGTAATTTGCATTTCAGTGTAAGCAGGGGAGAGAGGCTGGCTGCCTGAGCTGCTGCTACTCCTCCGTTTGGTGCTCTTGCTCTTTGTCCCCACCATGAAAAATTGCTCTCTGCCTTTCAGAATATGGACTGAAACCTCCAGTAAGTGTGAGCTTATTAAACCTTTCCTTCCTTCATTTTGGGTGTTGAGTATTTGTCCCAGCAACAAGAGAAGAGTAACTGAAACAGCAGACGGTAGGGTTAGTCCTAACCTGTCCTTCATAGTGAATGATGAAACCATCTGAGAGAAGCCCTTCTTCTACCCAGGACACTTCCTGAACACCAAGGGCCAAAGCACGAGGCCTTCATGCCACTCTCAGCACGTAAATTTGGGACCCCTGGCTCCTTGACCCCTGTAGGATGTGTTTCAGAAGCAGTACCCAGGCACCAGGCTACTGAGCCCAGTGCCCACCCACAGGCCACCGCATGCATCTGGGAGCCCCTGCCTCACATGAAGCTCTTGTTCTTCTTCACCTGCCTATTGTAGCACTTCAGCTTCTCAGTGCCCGAGGGACACTCACTGCCCAGTGACCACAGATTCTTTGGTTTCCAGAACACCCCATTGCTCTACCAGCTCTGTGCTGTGTCCTGCTAGAGGAGGGTCCAAACCTTGAGCTTGGCTTCAGTTGGGGCTTGATGTGGAATAAAATCATCTCTGTGACTGCAAACTGGTGTCTGGGTCTCACCCCCACCAGCCCCTGTCTCTGACGTATCCTCTGCCACTTGTAGATGGGAACCCTAATCCTGTGTCATGCTTTGTTACTTGGCCTCTGGAGTTAGAAAACAGAAACATTTAGGAAAACTGCTCCTCATCTGCAGACTGCTCACCCTTTGTCACTCATGAGACTTATTCCTCGATCTGGGTTTTTCTCAACTTTTAGGGAACAGTTGGGCTCCAGGGCTCTCAGGCAGGGCTTGAGTGTGAATGGGCTCTGCTTAGAATCTGTTGAAGGGAGACAAGTGGTCCTGGTGGTCCCCAAGATGCCACTCACATGTAGTGAATTTCCAGGTTTCACGGAGTAGAAAGACTCTTCCACTCAGTGGGCAACTTGGGACAAGAACGGGATGCAGATGCAAATGAGCATCAGCAAAACCTCGGGTGCAGGAAGACGGGCCCCAGCACTCAGCTGTGCTGTCTGAGGGAAGTTGTCCAGCCTGTGGGCAACTTCCTTACTAGGAAGGTTGTGCCATGGCCTTAGCTGAGGCTTCCCAGCTGCCCTTGGGAGTCAGGGATTTGTTTTGGCACATTTAGGGTTGACATGCAGGCCTGGCAAGGAAGTCTGCTACACCGCCCACCTGTGCACTTTCAACAAAATGATCACAGATGTGTAAGTTCCTATATTAATTTGTTTTTATTTTGGTGTGATATTTACCAGACAGTGCTCCTGTTTATCATCAGGCTTCTTTTCATTTGTCAAGAGTGAAATACTACACCACTTAGGCCATGGTTTCCCATTCCCAGTGGCCCCAGCCCCTGGCCAACACTATCTACCATAGTATTCTATGAATCTAACTAGCATAGGTAAGTCATTCAACTGGGATCGTACTGGATTCATCTTTTGTGAATGGCTTATTTAACTTGATGACATCCCCTCCAAGTTTTTTCACTGTATGACATGCATCAGTACCTTCTCCTGTGTTAGGGCAGATCAAAATTCACTCTGCATGGTATTAGCCCCCCAACTCCCACCCAAACTGTTTCTTTCTGTTTTCGTTGAAGTGTGAAGATCATACTCAAAAATCTTCCATTGAAAATTCTAAAAATATTTCATAAATTTTATTTATTTATTTATTCACTCATTTTTGATTCACAGTTTCACTAATTTGCCTAATTTTGCCAAGCTGGGTTTGGGTATTTGATCCTTTTGCTGAGATTCTAAGAGAGGTGTTATTAATTTACATTCTGTCCTTGAGGGTGGTCTAGTCCAAGTTCCCTGTATGTCAGTGTGCTTTTGCATTTTGCCTGTGAATAAGCACACAGTGACCCATTTCTGTGGCCTAGTCACATGGGACATTAGGTAACTGAACGTGCTGGAGGTGGTGCCAAGGATCGTTGGACCCAGTTAATCCCTACTGAGCAGCAGATTCTCCATGGAGCCTGAATGACAGTCCTGTCCAGCGTGGGGTACCATCCCACAGGTCCTATTACAGTCTGACTTCCCATCCACTTTACCAAAGTGCTGGTTGGCCTGTCAGTACCCTGATCTCACCCGCTTTTGCTTGTGCCTCCATGAGCACAGATCCACAAGTCTGCCCATCATGGCCCAGGGCTGAAACCTGCAAACACTGTGTCTAGTTCTCCTCCTCCTCCTCCTCCTCCACCTCCTCTTCTTCCTCATCCTCCTCCTCCTCCTTCTTCTTCCTTCTTCTGTTTTTTTAAATGTATTTAGTACAGGGTGTACAGTGGCTCACTACACAGATCAGACTTGTAGTGATCCTTCCTGTTTTTCAGCCTCGTGAATGCTGAGGTTACAGGCACGCACCACCATGGGGCCAGCACTGTAGGCCTGGGATCGAATCCGGCCCCTGAATCTGTCTAAGGAGGTGCTTTAATCTGCTGAGATATCTAGTCGGCCCTCAGTGTGTCTAGTTCCATGGAGCCTTCCTCCCAGGAACTCCCCTTGCCCAGCCTACCAACAGGAAGAGGCAGGAGGGGCAAGGTGCACGCGACTGCTGTGCCCTGGGCCTTCCCTGCACCCTGTTTGCACAGTAAACACACAGCTTGTCTCACACCTAGGACAACAGGACAAAAGTCAGCCTTTCCAACCTGCTTTATAAGAGGACAGCCTGCCTGTTCTAACATGCAGAGTGTGCTGGAGTGTGTGTCCTCTGTCTGACTGGAGCTGTGAAACTGTGTGTCAGAAGAACCCGGTGCTGAAGAAGTGGCAATGGGGCTACTCTCCGGTGATGCGTTGTTCTCTGTGGCCGTGGCCGTGGTCATCTTCTTGCTGTTAGTGGACCTGATGCACCGGCGTCAACGCTGGGCTGCTCGCTACCCACAAGGTCCCATACCAGTTCCCGGACTGGGCAACCTGCTGCAGGTGGACTTCCGGAACCCAGCGTACTCCTTCTACAAGGTGGGAGGCTGCAGGTGGAGAGCAGCAATGGTCAGGTGGACACCAAGTAACTGACACTAGGTGGTCAGTATAGCCACAGCCTAGACAAGGACCTGGCAGCCCAAGAGCGGGGAGGTAGAGCACTTCTCTGGGAAGGACTACCAGAGCAGAGAACACTCTGGACTTGCCATGGGCAAAGGTCTTGGAGGGCAAACATGGGAGGTTGGGCAGGATATAGAAGTGGTTTTGGATGCAGATTGGATAGAACTCAAGTTACATAGGACCCAGGTCCCTTCTGATGTCAATGATGGAAGGGATTGTGGATGAGGGACCAGGATGAGAGAGTCCTAAGCAGCAATTGAATCAGAACATTGATACCGAGAGCACTACTGTGACCAGCACCAGATTCTGTGGCCGCCGTGGTGTCTGGGCCTCTCTGCTCCAACCTTTGTCCTGAGATTCCTCATGTGAAGAATGGGAGGCTAAGAGGCCTCACTGACAGTTTCCCCACTCTGCCCAGATCATAGCTGGGTGGTCACAGCTAGATCTACAGTGATTGTTCTGAACCTAAGAAGATGTGAGGGCACCAGGCAGACACTGGAGCTCAGGGAGTCGAGGGGCTGAAGGAGGCCGTGAGTGCCATCCTCACTCCCATGAGAAACAGCAGCACAGCTGAGTCTTGCACTGTTGAACTGGGTCTGCCTGTGATGGGAGTGAGACTGGGGCCTGCATTCTGTGAGGAAGCCCAGCCTCACAGGCTCCCTGGCCTCCACCTGCAGCTGCGACGTAGGTTCGGGGACGTGTTCAGCCTGCAGTTTGCCTGGACTCCAGTGGTCGTGGTCAATGGGCTGGCGGCTGTGCGGGAGGCTCTGGTGACCCATGGCGAAGACACCTCAGATCGGCCCCCAACAGCCACAAGCGAACTAATTGGCTTTGGACCGAGATCCCAAGGTAAAGGTCAATACAGCAAGCATGATAGCAGGGCACAACCCTGGAGCAGTGACTCAGGAGGACAGGGCTGCGGAGCATGGTGATGTGCTCCAGGCACAAAGGACATCCTTGACTTCTGGGCATGAGGCCTGGAAAGGTGTTGCACAAGGGTGTAGACAGAGTTTGTGTGGGATCAGCAGCCTGGAGAGAGGGGTTACCAAGCGCACAGGTTAGTACTTTCTGGTAGACACGTGCTTTCCATTGCAGGCATTATTAGGGCTCCCTATGGACCCGCCTGGCGTGAGCAGCGGCGCTTCTCTGTGTCCACCCTGCGCAACTTCGGCCTGGGGAAGAAGTCTCTGGAGCAGTGGGTGACCGAGGAGGCCTCCTGCCTCTGTGATGCTTTTGCCAACCATGCTGGTGGGTGATGGGTGAGGGACACAAGGGACCTGTACACAAGCCCCTGGGAGATGTGGCGGCACCCTGAGGAGCCTCCCTACTCACAGGGCAGCCCTTTCGACCCAACGCCCTGATGAGCAAAGCTGTGTGCAATGTGATCACATCCCTCATCTACGCGCGCCGCATCGAGTATGATGACTCAGTCATGATCAGGTTGACAGAGTTGCTGGAGAATGGCCTGAAGGAGGACAATGCCTTATTGCTTCAGGTACAGGGTTCAAGGCAGTCTGTGCTGGACACCTTCCTGCAGAAGGGCTCTGGGAGGACAATTTGCATGGGGTAGAGTGGCAAGAAAGCATCAGGGAGAGAAGGTTGAGGTGGAAAGGCCTGATTGTGGCTAATCAGAGAACAGTAAGGGGAGAGGTGGCTGAGGTTCAGGGTTCCAGAGAGGAGAAGAGCCTGCGTCCATGTTGGAAACCACACAAATTCCCCAGATTGCCATGGTAGGATGGTCCATGTGACAACTCAGCACTAGAAAAGAGTTTTAATGCTGGCCCAGGGGAAGGAAGAACGTTTCAAATGTGTGGAGAGTTAGTCAGCTCAGGGTAACCAGGGAGCAGGCTGGAGTAAGATGTGGACGTGACTACAGACCATCTGAAGCACCCAGGCTGTCTTTGTGCCATCACAGTTAGTGAACTCAGTGCCACTGCTCACACGCATCCCGTGGGTGGCTGCCAAAGTCCTGCGCTCCCAGAGGTCCATCATTGCCTTGATTCATGATCTCTTGACCGAGCACAGCACAGCCTGGGACCCAGACCAGCCACCCCGAGATCTAACTGATGCTTTTCTGAACGAAGTACATAAGGTGAGACGTGCTGTGAGAGATGGGATCAGGGGCTGTGGGCCAAGTGTTCTGGGAGATGTGAGGCCAGTTGAGGCTGCAGCATCCCCCATAGACCCAGCCCCTGCACTTATGGGTGCTGGATGGGGGATCTAGGAGCTATTCTTCTAACTTTCCACTGAGGCCACCCTCTCTGCCTGTCCCCAGGCCAAGGGGAACTCTGAGAACAGCTTCAATGATGAGAACCTTCGCCTGGTCATATCTGAACTGTTTTTGGCAGGGATGGTGACCACGTCAGTCACCCTGTCCTGGGCCCTGCTGCTCATGATCCTGCACCCGGATGTGCAGTGTGAGTTGGGCTTGCAATGAATGGGAACTAAAGGAGGAGTGGTTGGTGCATTCTAAAGCTTACTTGGAAACACATGGTCCTAACCAGGTTCATGAGATGTGCAGATAGCCCTTAATGCAGGGATGGAGTGTCAGGTTCCCGTCCACATGAAGTGACCCTGCATGGCCATGCTTGTCTGTGCAGGCCGTGTCCAGCGGGAGATCGATGAGGTGATAGGGCAGGGGCGGCGCCCAGAGATGGCAGACCAGGCCCTCATGCCCTTCACCAACGCTGTGATTCACGAGGTGCAGCGCTTTGCGGACATTGTCCCCATGGGTGTGCCCCACATGACATCTCGTGACACCGAGGTGCAGGGCTTCTGCATCCCTAAGGTAATGCTTCGGTCTTTCTTCCCCAGCGTCACCACTACCAAGCATGGATAGAATTTATTCTGCTACTTGACCTGCAATACCCCTTTTGTTGCCAGCTCCAGCATGGGTGGGTGTGGTGCTGAGCACAGGGCTGCTCTGTCTGCACTGACCCCCAGTGTAGTTGGACAGTGAATTAACCCATGTGGGTGGTTGTTGGAGGATCCTGTGCACCTGAGCAAAAGTGGTTGCGTAGGCACGCAGGGGACCCCTGTCCTGTGCCCTTGCCATATGATCATGATTGTCATGAAAAGTCCTGGATCTGGAGGTTAATTGTAGGCTCCTTGTGGCCCCGCACCCAGCAGCCTCAGAGCCTCATCAAGTGTGCTCGCGGTGAGTAAGTGTCAGGATGCTGCATCCCAGGGCAAATCTGGCCTTGTGTCTCTTGCCAGGGGACCAAACTCATCACCAACCTGTCATCTGTGCTGAAGGATGAGACTGTCTGGGAGAAGCCTCTCCAGTTCCACCCTGAACATTTCCTGGACAGCGAAGGCCGCTTTGTGAAACGTGAAGGCTTTATGCCCTTCTCAGCAGGTGATTGTACTGAACCAGGCTTCACGTCTGATTCCTAGGCACCTCGGTGGGGAGGAACCCAGGCCCCAGGCTGACTGGAGTCTGTCCCCCTATATGCACCCACAGGCCCCCGCATCTGTCTTGGGGAGCCCTTGGCCCGCATGGAGCTCTTCCTCTTCTTCACCTGCCTGCTGCAGCGCTTCAGCTTCTCTGTGCCTGAAGGGCAGCCCCGGCCCAGCGACCGTGGTACAGTTTTGTTCGTAGCATCTCCACCACCCTACCAGCTCTGTGCTGTGGCGCGTTAGTACAAGCACCATGGACTCTGTTTGTCTACCACATGGATGACTTGATATAGAGTAAACCAGCGTTGTGACTGTGTGTGTCTCTGTCCAAGCCTCTTTACTCAAACCCTATGTGTGATGCTTTCACCCCCATGTCTAAATCCACCCAGGATCCCCTGCCCTCCCCAACTCACCCTGATCACTGCTCTCACCACAAGAGAAATGTGTATACTGATGCTCAGCAGGTGGGAGCTCAGCCCATGTCACCCAGGGAGACCAAGGCTGGCTCCTGAGTGGGTCAAAAATACCAGGCAGCTGTGTGAACTTGATGAGTATCAGGGTGGTGCTGACTGTGAGTGACTTGCTCTTGGAAATAAACACAGTTCCTGGTGGGGTGCTGGCTCGTCTTGGTGAGACATGAGGATGATAGGCCCACAGCATAAGGCCTGAAACTTCTAAGAGCTGGGGTTGTGGTTAGTATGCACAGGCCCCCCTACCTGTGCTAGAGGGGTTCGTCCTCCCAGCCCTTGATCAGCATTTGGTCCCCAGGTTGGATAGGTTGCCAGGGTGTTTGAAGGGCATTGGGTGATGCTACAGAACAGCCTTTCAAAGCTCCTCAAGGACCCAATGAAAGCCTCTCTCTGGCAATGAAGGTCAGCTGACCCCGCTTCTGGGAATCCTTGTGTCACCAGCACCAATGGAGAAGACTTTTGATACATGATCTTGAAAGGTTTGAGAGGCCATCTCAGTTGGGTGTGCACGGGGATGAGAGGAGCACCAGTGGCGATACTGTTGTCCAAGTTGCACAGGTCTCTTGGCAGAGCTTAGCCAAGGTGGACTTGCGGTTTTGTCTCTCTACCTGCCCACAGCTCTGGGGCCAGTAAGCCATGTAGTTTTTAATTTTACCCACCGAGCGGAGGCCAGCTCTTGGACTACTTTACCTATGAACATTGCCCTATTACCTACCCTGAGGGTCATGGGGAGTCCATATCAGGGGATGATTCACTCCAGAAAAGCCTTGGCTACCTCTCTCAAACTTTCAGTCCTAGTCATCATGGCCTCTACGCAACTTGAGCAGGTATCAAACAGTACTAGCAGGTAATTCTGACTTCTAGTTGGCTAAACCTTGGTGAAGTTAATATCAACATCTGTAAAGGAGTAGTCCCCTACCTCCTGATGCCATCTGTGGTATTGTTTTAGGTACAAAGTTTGCATCTATCAGCCACAGAGAAAGATGTATGAGGGCATAGAAGTAACCAGCAAAGCAAGTCCATTATAGTTGTTTTCTTTTTTTTCCAAATGACTGCAGGTGTGTATGTCTTATATCAGAAAATGTCCCTCGTGGTGGCGCACACCTGTAATCCCAGCTCTTGGGAGGCTGTAAACAGGCGGATCACTACTAGTCCGATCTAGTAGTGAGACCCTGAACACCCTGTAGACCCTTCCCTATAATAGAAAAAAGAAAATGTCCCAAGACTCAGGAAAGAACATAGTCTCTCTTGGCAGCACTTGTTACCCACTTTTATCAGAAGCCCCCTCTGACTTCATCCACTTCAACTCAGTCTCTAAATAGGAAGGCCTTTTCAGATGGGGTTCAGGACTCCTTTCTCAGGAATAGGGGTCTCCAGATTGGCCACCTATTTTGCTGTTAAGTCCTTGATGCAATTGTCTGGAACCTTTAAAGTGTCCCACTCTGGTGACTGAGTAGTGTGTGACTTGGCAGTCCAAATGTAGCAACTCTAATATTTCTTGTGAATTCTTTAATATCCTTTTACCGGCTGGCACGAACCTTCTTTTTTTGTATATGGCCCCATGCACAGGGAGGGTGGCAAAAGCATAGCGGGAGTCAGTACTGACATTGACCCATTTGGCCTTTCCAATTCCAAAGCACAGGGGAAGGCTCTCAGCTGGGCTTTCCAAGCCGGTATCCCAGGGGAAGTGTTTTTGATTGAACAGTTTGGTCTATCATGACAGCAGCTGCTCCTCCCCTCTAGACCCCATCGATTATGCTACAGTTGTTATCCAAAAACAGGGTTGAATCAGGGTCCTACAGGGACGAATCCCGGAGGTCCAGGTACTTTGAGTAGACCATCTCAATTAATTTGGTGCAGTCACATTTGGCTGGCTCTGTGGATAAGAATGTTTTATTTTTTATTTTTATTTTTATTTTTTTGGCGGAACCGGGAATTGAACTCAGGCCCTTGCACTTGCCAGGGAAGCACTTATTCTACTGGGCCATCTCCCTGGCCCTGGCTCCATGGATATGGGCAGCACTGAGGCTGGGATGGTAGCCAGGGTGAGTGTTGTGGTTACCCTGGGGTCCTCAAGAAGGGCTCCCTGGTTGGGGTGGGTTCCCACTAGCTATTTGTCACCTGGACACCCCTAAGTACAGTTTTCACTGCATGAGAGATGTATATGTTTAAAGTCTGTCGCAAGGTCAGCCTGTCAGCCTCTTTCACCAGCATGGTGGTGGCAGCAGTGGCCCATAGGAAGGAAGGCCACCCTGCTGCTACTCGTTCTAGCTTCTTGCACAGTATGCCACAGGGTGATGCCAAGGTCCAGGGTCTGGGTCAGGACATTCTGAGCTGTGTCCTCCTGTCTGTGTCTTGGAGAGCCAAAGCTGGGCACTTGACAACTCCCTTTTGAGAATATGACAGGGAGACCTCAGACTCGACTAAAAGGTATGAAATCCTTAGACAAG